TTTCTGGGTGAATGAGGCCAGTTTGTTGGAGTGCAGTAGTACAGTAAATGGGAGCTTCCCCCGGAGCCAGTTGCACCGATTCACTACCATCCATTGAGCCGTAAACCATTATTCATTTTCTCCTCTGCTGTTAAAGCTCTTAGTGAGTGTGAGCGATGGTGAGATAGTAACTCTTGTTATTTTTGTCTTGCACTTGAGTACTCGCACACGCTCACATCTCACTGAGCCTACTCACTCCTCCTCCCCCTCGCCTAATATCTCTCCCATCTGTGTTCCTCCCATGTCTGTTTCTCTCCATAGAAGTTTTTTTATTTTAATCACCACACAATGACTTTAAGAGGGGTCTCCTGTTTCTATTTGGTCATTTAATATGGTGAAAACACAACAGAGGAAAATCACAATGTGAATGGGAATACTGGAAAGAGGCATTTCTTTAATTGAAATTTCTTATTACACAAATTATTCTTGTCCCTTTCTGTCTGTTTTTATCTTCTTTCAAGGCTGGTAGCAGCAGAGGGCTCAGAGCCTCGCTTCATGAAGGAAGAAGAAGAAGAGGAGGAAGTAGAAGAGAGCAGCGAGGAGGAGGAAGATGAGATGACTCCTGAAGAACAAGGTAAACATGGAGATCCTTTTCCTCTTTTTTTATTTTTTAATTGATCACATCCATACCTACTAGAGCCTTAATTGATCTTGTGTCGGTGGATTATTGTCATCTTTATATGACAATAGGGTGGTGTTGTGTCATCATTAAGGCATCACAGTCATAACTCAACAGCTGAACGAAAGAGGCGTATATCAGTATCCATGGTACAGCTTTTTGTTAGTAGTGCCAGCGAGGGCGTGCCTCAGTTCACCTGTTTACAGTCTACAAAGACTCTTTAATACAAAGTGTCCTCTGCAGCTGTGAGGGTGGCTAAATGCAAAGTGCTGGTGGAGAGGGATGCAGTGTCCTGTATGCTCTTGACCTTATGCTGACTTCCTTTAAGACACACGCACGCACGCACGCACACACACACACACACACACACACACACACACACACACACACACACACACACACACACACACACACACACACACACACACACACACACACACAGTCGATATGCTTTTGACCGTTCTCTGACTTTGCCGTCTATGCCCACATCATACACACACACCCCCACCTCTTTTTCTCAGATACAGGGATGTCAGTTCAGCTGCATCAGCGCACACACATGCGCTGATGCATCGTGCCTGCAGAGTTTCCATGCTTGCTTGTTTTTTATATTTATATCTGAACTGTGCGGGTAAAAGCCACAGAACAGTCTGGAAACTGCACCCTGATCGATGTAATCCAACTGCAGGGCTGTAGCGTCAGCAATTCTTGACACACAGTTCTAGTCCTGCCAACTTGTGCCACCAGTTTTAGCGCTGCATGGAGACATGCTGATTCAGGTGGAAGAGGATGTTTTACATGAATTATTTTAAGTTATGTGTGGGGAGGAGGTCAACACAAAATACAAGACAGACTCTGTGAGCAGATATATGCCAGTGCAACCATTTCAAGACAAACGTCGTCAAAGTGAAAATGGCTCTGCCAGTTGACTTCTGCCTGAAGAGCTGCACTGCAGTGCCAGGATGAAGTGACCTCATTGCAACCTTCAGTGTTTGCTTTGCCTCTCCACTTGTCACAGATGTGTGTATATTCAAATCCTGAATGCCACATTTGTCACTCACATTTCTAGACACAGAGCCTTCGCATGGCCTTTGTTAGCCTCACATGAAGTCTATGCCACACCCTCCTTTTTTACCTAATTGTTGTTATTACCAGAATATCTGTACTTTGCCAACATTATAATTAACCGACCTAAATTCGGCATGCACCCATTGCTTTTGGCAAGTTAAAGTGGTTTGAAATGTATTCCCTCTCCACAGCCAAAAAGAAGCATTTTCAGATGATGAGGAAGATGCACTACAACGAGGGCATGAACATCAAGCTGGCCCGCCAGCTCATTGCCAGCGAGCTAGAAGAGGACGAAGACGTGGACGAAGAGATGAGGGACGACACAGAAGAGGCGAGGGAGGAAACGGAGGAGATCAATGTTGACCCACCACAGGAAGGTGAGGAGAGGGAGGATGTGTTCTTGCACATGGGGGATAAATAATTTGGACAGTTTCCAGGCAAACAGTGTTTTTTTTTTCCAGTGTATTCAAAGAGGCATAGTGGTGTAGTACACCTTGCAAATAATAGCTGACATGGAGAGATTCAGAAGTAATGGCTTTGCGCACTGATGCACACTGTCAGTGTGGATGTCGTTATTATAGATTATACTGCTGGCTGCTCTTTGTTTGTGCCGCTCTGTAGTTCATTTACTCGTAAAGCTGTCCATCAGCAGGAGGTCCAGTTATTTAAATGAAGCGCTATAACCCACTCTGTACATGAGCAGGCTGGGTTATAATAAAAGGCTTTAGTTAACGCATACTGATTAGTTTAAAATTATTTTGATCTGTACTGCTGCCAATCTAGGAAACCATGCACTCTAAGGGCCTGTGTCCACCAAAACATTTTTTACTGAGGCCAGGGTTTTTTGTTTTTTTTTCAATTAATTGCAATGGGAGCTCCACGTTTTTACAACATGGTAAAAACGTCAGCAGCGTGATGAGGCACTGAGCGTGTTTTTGGCACGTTCTGGCCGTTTTTTTCCCAGTTGCCGAGAGTTGAAAAATGTTCAACTTTGGAAAAAACGCAGTGCATGTCACTGTCACTTTTTACCCAGCTGCCAAATCACAGTGCAGGAGGGGCGGGACAAACACCACACCGAGCCATCTCAGCTCTTGAACAAAACGATATGCGTCCTCACCGAGTTATTTCCTCGCCCGCAAAATCTCATGGCAATCTTGCTCTACATGTTTTAGCCATCTCTTCATGCAGAGCAAGGGCCAGAGCAAGTAGGCCTACCCTACTTTGTGGTGACATTTTTGCATTCAGTAAAATTAGGTAGCCTACTAGCTAGTGTCTTGTGTTTAATCACAAATCGGTTCAATTTCCACTAGCTGCCCCGTTTAGAGGATCAAAGTACAAAGTGCAGAAAATTTACATTTGATTTTTTTTTTTTTTCTAGCTCTGTCGATCTTTCTGTTCTCATGTGTGTCTGCATGTTTGTCTCTTGTTCGTCCTCCAGCTGATTCCCTGGACTCGTAGATGAGGCCCCTCTTCTACCTTCAGCCCTGTGTGTCGGCTCAAGATGCAGAAAGACAATGCCACTGCGCTCTGTGTTTTAATGCCGGGCCGTACAGCAGACACCGCTTCACCACCCATATAACAACCCTCAGCAGCCAATAACCTCCTGGTCACCTGTCTGTCTCTACTATTCCTTAGAACTGTGCAATATAACCTTAAAACACACTGGTTTTTAACTCCCAGAATCAGTACACACAAGTGAAGCTCCTTCCTCTTCCTCTCTCTCCTGTTGCCAAGAATCCCCCCCCCCACTCCAACTTCCTCTGAACTGGCGTCGCACTGAAGAATATTTGATTCTGACTCTGCAAGGAGGATCAAAAAAACCCAGCAGGGCTCCCGTCTGGCTGCTCAACAGTCACCAGGCCGCAGAGCCAGTACGTCAGCCCTGGAGGAAACCAGGGGAAACCCAACGGCCTCACTAAAGGCATATCTGAGACATGACGACGGCACTTATACTGGGTGCACTTCAGATGGCTTTTATTTTTGTTTTGCTTTGTGACCCACCACTCTGTTTGCATTTTCTCTTCTCCTTTCAGTGTGTTTTGTGACAAAAGTTGGACACTGATGACCACTTGTAGGTTTTTGTTTGTGTGACTTTACCTGGTAATTCAGGTAAGTTGTTGACATTAGCATGATGGTGGTATGACAATTTAGGAGCTATATATTGGTCGAACAGTAGCTCCTAAACATAACCTTCGTAATCTAAATTACATTATTAAAAAAAATCATTATTCAACCAACAATACAAGTGAAACAACACACATGGTCCGTATTATATTGGCTAAATTGTCCCAGGATGTCTTATTTTACGTTCTCTCTTTACAAGCAAAAACCTCATTTCAAATTCTGGCAATTTTAAAAGCATTTAAATCAATCAATCAGTTTATTTTGTGAAAGAAGATCTTAAAAATGTTTAGTCAAGACTGAGTCAGGCTTATGACCCCTGTGTTTTTCCTGGCCATTTTAGCTCTTTAAAATAGAAGTACAGCACATGCTACTGATAAACAGGACCGTGTCCCGTGTTTAACAGGCTACAGCTTTCAGCGCCAGGCTCTTATGTAGGGTAGACAAAGAAGCAACCAGCGCTCATTGTACTCTCGCGCCCAGACGACCTGCGTATTTAACTTCTCGTTGCATGAGAGCTTCACCAGGCAGAATTTGTGAAGAAGTTCTTGAGGAAAGTACAATCATCTAGTTTGTGTTTTAATTTCTCACCTGGCTTCAATACACTTTATTTAATGTTGTCTGATGTACTTAAGTGTGTACGACGCAGCTTGGTAATGTGAAAGAGTTGCCATTGATGCTACTGACAAGTTGGTTGAAGCGGATGTTGGGGAAAGGAGTTAACCACTAAGGTTTATTGGAGGTGAATGGTTTTTGTAATGTCTTGGGTTCCTAAGTGTCAAGAAAGTTACTGCAAAGTCTTAAAAAACTGATTTGACAAAAGTATTGATGAAAATAAATAAATAAATTGCAATGGTAATGTTGTTGACTGTCAGTTTCTGGGGAGTGATCCTCAGCTACACACTGGAAGGTTTTACTTGGCAGTTGAATGAAGAACCAAATGCCCAAAGAGAAAAGTATGTTGGAACTCTGAGTATGTCTAGTGTTGTGATCTCTTAATGTTCTTCAGACCCTTTAATTCTTCACTGTGTTGAGCTCTGTATTACAGAAACACAGGATCACAGACCCAACAGACGGACTTCTGCAGACGTCCCTTTGCGGTTTAGTTCTTGTAATTTAGTCTTCGGTGGCATTTTTTGTCTCCACGTTAAAGTTTAAAGCAACTTCCTTTCGACTATTTCCCACCAATCAACAAGCTCACATTCAAGCAGTTTATTATCACACGATTATTGTAAAGAAACAGGAATAGTTATGTCTTGAAATACATTTTTTTTAATTTTGGTTTATTTGTAAACCGATAGAAAAGACAACGGCAGAGAAGCGGATACGCTCGGTTTATCTTCTCTTAAGACAAAAGGACAACGTCGTCCGAAACGTAACTGACATGATCACCCCATCGGTGGTTGTTACCTGTCAAATGTGCCTCTTACGTATTTATGTACATGTGTGTAAAATGAACAGGCTATGCCCCATGTTAAGGTTTTTTGTTGTGTGCCGTTTTTCTTTTGCCTCACGTGTCCAGTGTCTCGCTTTTTACTTTTGCACCACTTTGTTTTGTTTTCTAAGGATGACAGACTGTTAGGGAGCCCTGTGACTCTGGACTGTGTGTCTGTCTCAAAATGACACAGATGTCAAAATCCATGTTTATGTATTTCCAGTTGGCATGTTCGAAATCATCAGTTGGTTTGTTATTCTGTTTTGTTTTTGTCTCCTGTCATTAAACAAATGTTGTTAGTAACTAACAATGGCTGTGACTTGTGTTTGATCTGAACAGTCGGATACCTTAAAGCTGAGTGATGCAGAAGATCAGCACCAACCGTGCAGATATCTCTGACAATGTCTGTCTGATTAAAGCCTCTACAAGACTGGAATTACAACACGTCTCCTTGTAGAAACGGCAGACTTTTTTTCTTTCATTTCTGTTTTTTCTGTTGGTTTTTTTCCCTCTCTTCTTCTCTTGGCATTCACTGACTAAAATGAAAAGCTATTGTAAGTGACTCTCCAGTCTGTGATCATCGCAAAACAACAAATCCATATTTTTAATCCGTAAATGAGTCAAATCCATACACATTCAGTTTATCAAACTAATCCGCATCTAATTTGGTAGTGATGTGAAAAGTACCTTTTTACTTTAATATAAGTATCCTTCCAAAATTGAAATCTATTTAGCCCTTCAGCCCTTTACAAAAGTAAGGAAATTAATTAGGTATTTCATCACAACAAACATATTTTTAGTCTTGTTAGACTTTAAAATATTTTTTTATAGGTAAAAGTGATAATGTGAGTCACTAATGTTAGTGCCACTTTATTAAAAAGGTCTGCATTGCCTTACCACACAACAAACATGTGACTTTGCCATCTGTAAAAGCAGATAACCTTCCCTGTGATGGTTTATCTAATGTATGTCTCTACTTATTGTTTTTCATACTATATGGGAATGAATGGAGACACCTGTAAGACAGAAACGTCTAAGAGTATGTTGTGAACTTAAATATATAGACATAGAGCACTGAACACAGACTACTGGCCCTAGTATTTCAATCTCAAAATTGTAAGGACTGAAAAACAGTTAATTTCGGCCTCTCGCTTGAAATGACTGCGTCTCTCTTACCACCAGATCGCGCTGTTTCACAACACATCTTTCGTTCCTGTTGGATTTCTAGTAATTCTAATAGGATAAAGCCTGTTCGTGCAAGGATTATCCTGCATGCTTGGTCTGCAGTGGGTTTACAGCTAAGAATGAATTTTATTCAAACGCAAAACAGCGTTTCAACGCAAGTGGTCGAGAGATTTGTTTCACCCTCGGATGAAATGTCAAATGAGTAATGCATTCCTCTCGTTAACGTTTTAAGATCGTGCTGATTGTGTACGTGGCGAATGGTTGTTCGATGAAATCTACAATTTAAGATACGGTGGATTAAGAAATGAGGATGACGTCCAAGTCTGTCCAGGCAGCGTCAAGGGTAATTTCAATGCATCAGATCAGGAAGCGCCTGTCAACTGACACAGAGATCGCGTAGGAGACGACAGAGGGATCGCTCTTCCTACGTTTTCGTCAGTGGGAACCTAAACACCTAAAGGAAAAATGTGTCCTGCAAACATTTGGAGAAAGTGAAACACAGAACGAATACAGAGTTCAACATTATAAATTACAGAAAACATCCACCACAATGGTTCCCATAAAACAGTTTACATCTGTGTCAGACAGATATAAATCCCTGAGAATATCCAGCCAACATCATCGAACACAGTCATTGATGGTTAAATATGGAAAAATAAAAATAGACTCAAGTTAAAGGGCTCATCCAATAAATAATGTAAGGTGTTGCATTTTTTAATCAGTTTGTCAGAAGGGTTAACTTTCCTCATAACCCAGATTATAAATTCCTAGGTTTTTCAGGTAGTTCTTCTTTTCTCTCTAAGAAATTATTTGAATTCACAATGTTGACTACTTAATGTGCTACTAAGTGACATTTCGCCCTTTGTTAAAATTTAATGAATTATTATTATTTTTGTATTCTTTTATTTTATGACTGTATATTTGCCAGTACCAACCACTCTTTCTCTGTTAATGTTTGTTGTAAAAAAAAATAAAAATAAAATCAATAAACAGGCCAGAGTTCATTTGCATAAACTGGATTGCAGAAGCAGGCACATGCGCGCTAGATTGTCATCCCTCTTTTCCCAGTATAGACGATCTGTGTGTTTGGCTGTAGTGTGTGTGCGCTGAAGAAAAGCTCCTCTCCCACTGGCTGCTATGACCTAGCTACCGCCGGACGACACTTTCTGTTTTCAGGACTGACCGCCGCGTCTGATAATAGTTTTGTCGCGTTTTGGGCAATCACACATTCAACATACAGTCGTTTATGGTCGCATTCCCGCGACTTTTTCATCGTAGCTGCTGGCCTCTGAGGCTAGCTGGCTAGCGGAGCAGTGACAGAGTGGAGCCAGCTAGTCGGACAGGGGTACAGTAACGTTAGCAAACAAGCTAATTAGCCCGAAAGACTCAGCCTGGATTAACGTTAGTTAACGTTACTGTCTTTAATCAAAGAGAGCGCAAGTCTGCGGTTTTACTCACTGCGGCAAAATGAAGATAACTGTGGATTTCGAGGAATGTTTGAAGGACTCCCCTCGGTTCAGGTGAGTGATGACAATCAGGCTTTTGTACCGGTTAGTGGTTATTTATTAATCACACGGAAAAGTGACCAGCTAGCAGCCTGATAACACAAGCGACTCAGCAGTAACGGTAACATAACTAACCAGCTAGCCGCTTGCTGCCTGCTGCTTTTCTATTTTTGTCTGTAAGAAAGCTGGGGCCAGCCGGGGAGGAAACCAAACATAAACTCACTGACCAGTGTGGTAAGCTCATATGGGCAGGAGCAAGCTGTTCTAGCGCTTGTTTTCTTTATATAAATTATGTAGGAAGAAGGGAATATATATTTAATAAAGTCTGTGCCAGTAACTTCATTTGCCACTGTACGGAAGCGCATTGCATTCACCAAAGAAAAAAAATTACGAGATCAGGATCTCGTAATTACGAGAAAAGATGTCATAATTATGACATCTTATCTCGTAATTATGACATCACCCCAGCTTTCATTTTTATTGTATGCAGTACATCATACTGTAACATACTTTCCTATTTATCTGGAAAGAAATACTTTTATCAGCTAGTATTGGCAGGACAGAAAACTGGGGATGTAATTAACCTAATTAGTCTTATTTACTTGCTTAATCAATGAATTGTTTGGGCCATAAAGTGTCAGAAAATAATAGAATTGCCTCTCACAATTTCCCAAACTCAAGTTGACATATTCAGATAAGCCAACACCCCAAAACTGTCAAGTTTAATATTTTGATGACAAAGAAAACCAACAAAAAGTCACATTTAAGGAGCTGAAACCAGTGAATTCTTTTTGCCATTTTTGCTTTAAAAATGTCTTTAACAATATTGTTGCTGATTAATTTTCTGTCGTCGACCAGTCTATGAATCATCTCAGCTGGACAGGGCTCACACTTCTTCTCCCACCAGCCACATCAGGCCGTACATCCTAACTCTCATAATCTATATTTTATTATTTCACCTACTAGTAAATAGGAGAAGACCTCATGAATAGTGGGTGGGTCCACTCCAGAGTGAAGAAGCTCTCCAGCAGTTTTGTCAGGTGGTGGGTGTTCACGTGATGTATTATTGGCAGCGGTGTCTTTTTCTGACATCGTCACTCCCAGCTTCTTCTCTTTTTTTTTTTTTTTTTCAATTCATCAAGCCAAAATGTTGCGTAAAATGGGATGTTTTCTCACAACTTCCTCCTCAGTTGCTTTGCGTTTTCCAGAGATTGGAGAAAGCGCCTGCCTCCTTCCTCCCTAAGCCCCCCCACTCCCTTTGCTGCTGCTGCAACATCCTCTCTCACAAAAAAACGAGGAACAGATGTTAGAAAGCTGTCTGCAGAAGAATGGAACAGCATTGTAAAACAACTAATTGGAGCATTTTAAAGCATCAGAATAAAGGGAAACGTCAGTCAGCTGTGTTGCTTTAGGTTGGTTGGTCTAACACTCTAGTGATGTAAGCCCCTGTGTATTACCAAGGCTGCTGGACTTTGAGGATCTCAGTCATTATTATACCTTTTTATGAATTGTTTATGTACTCAGATTGGTCCAGTATTTACCAGCATTTCTTTAAAACATTGCAGTTAGTATGTATTCCAGTTCTAGTTGCATCTAGTCTGTGATGAACAATTAATTCATTTTACCAAAATCACAATATGGCCAGGCGCAATATCCAAATTGCAGGAGCTGCAACTTTTTGATAAAGGTAAAATGTATCACTGCATACCACTATAAATAAAGCATTGTGGTGCTACAGAGATGTTTTGGCTTACGAATCATATTCTCCACACGTAAGGGAGCATGCTTGTTTGGTACAGACCCTGGCAAAAATTAGATAATTTTACATTTTTTTCAGCAAAATGAAATGCAAAATTACCTTTCCCACTATAATTGTCACTCATATCGCAATAGACAGTCTGTCAAAATAATTGATATGAGTTATTGTTGTGTGAGTCAGTGATGTAGATTTTAGAACAAAGTTATGAAACTACTTAAGCCGGGCCGCAGACTGAGGCTGTGGTGAATATGCATTGTCTGAAACTAAAACCTTTAACCAATGACTTTCAGTCCATAAAGTATTTCCCCATAGACCTCAAACGATACCTCTTCCCTATTGAAAGTCAATAATTTTATGTATAAGGCTTGATCACAGAGTATTAATAAAAAAATAGATTATATGTCAACAAAGGCCAGCTCCAAAATTTGTTCTGAATTGAGGAAACTGCTAAACTTCAACATGACTTTGTAGACTGGATGGCTAAGTCTGCTAATTTATCAAGGAAGGCTGCAGCAATATAAAGAAGGTACAGAAATGGAAACATCTCTGTGAGTGTGCATGGGCATCTACACACATAAAGTGTATTGGTCAGATTATCATAAACATCTTGATTCATGTTTAGTCAGGGAATTAATTAGCAACTTTTTTGTTCATCAATTAATATGATGGTCAAAGCTACAAAGTCATTTTGCAAGCAGAAAGCCTAAACGTTAGCTAGTTCCAACTCCTCAGTTGTGAAGAGATTGTCAATGGGCATTTTTCACTATTTTCTGACATTTACAGACGAGAAGATTAAAAAACATAATTTATTCTCTTTTGTTATCTTAACAATTCACCTGGTCGTATGTTTCCTTTGCTAAAGGGACATTTTTTGAAAGAGTGTCTACAACCCAACAGCATGTATTCTCCCACACACTCCATGGTCATCCAAACTTTATTCTTTGCGAAATATAGTTCAGCCTTTTCTCCTAAACAGAGCGCTCTGGCTCTGTACAGTATTTTCAACTCGCTGTACACATCAGGGTGCATGTGAGAGAAACCTGATATTAGCAACTAGTACAAAATAGCTGTTCATAAACCTGTCCGATGTAGCACAGGTTGTAACAAACACGTACCATTTGTGCAAAAGCAATCGCAGTACTGGTCTGCCTTATTTTTGTCAATGTTTTGCTCTGTGTCTCTGTAACTTTAAGGATAACAAATATTAGCACCACCTGAATATTAAAATTGGAAATCTAAATCTAGTCTGTGTTTGATCATGTTAGTCTGATAGGACTAGGAAGCACCTTGCCGTGATCCTCTGCAACCAGGAGCCCAGCTTTATTAAAGTGCCCTTTGTCCTTTATGAGAGTCATATTTTTAAGTTTCCTGACTGCAAGTCCACTGTAGCTGCATCCTGATGGGTTGGGACTGATCAGAGAGTTTCACGGCACAGTTTTCCACTGCGACCACCATTGTTTCACTGGTATTTTCCATTCTCGTTATGTTTGGCCCGAGAAGAGGACAGAGCGGGAGAGAAAGAAAGAATGGATGAACACATGGAATACACAGCAGTGTGGAGCAGCTCTCGCTTGCTCAACATCTGTTTCCATTTTGGTGTTCGCTTTTAACTTTGTGCCAGAGAATATGGAGCCCCCAAATGTGGAGAGGGTTGTTTTCAAGTGGTAATTTGGCACACCCCGCTTTTTTTTTTTTTGCTCTCATCCTCATTTTAGTCGGGAAGCTGTCTTTGGTCATAAACCATGCTTTCAGCCTAGAGGAGAGATCCATTAGTGCAAAAATTATGTATTTTTGGCGGTAAACCCTCACAGCCTAGTTTTCCACTTGAGAATAGACTCAGCCTTTCCTGGATCCTCTTCAAGTATGAGTCGAAAATTCCCTTCAGAGGGCCGTGGCTTTTCTCCCCACATGATTTAGAAGTAAATGTTTTACATATTTAATTTGCTTGTCTGTCCTGCAAGGTACCAGCGGAGACTAGAATTAGCAAGTTTTCATATTAAATTAGCAGTATGTTGTTTGTTTTGGTAGTTCAAGAACAATAATGATGACAGTTGTTTTAGCATAGGTTCTAACCGATTGAAGAAAAATATACATCGGCTTGCTGAGGTTCTAGATGAACCACAGAGGGAAGCACAACACCAAGAGATTAATAAATAAAACATCACAAGAGTAGGATGGATGTGTTTTTATACCCAGTTGACATGAACTGCCCAGAAGTGAGCTAATTTCTTTATTTAACAGCAACCCTTTCCCCTGTCTTCACTCGCCTCTTAAACATGATAACGTGATTACCTGCTCCTGATTGGTTTTGCTGATTCTGAGCTTGGCCGAGTGCCATCCCATGAGGTCATTGGTCGAACAGTCCCGGTTGCAGTTTCCCCTGAGTCATTGACAGCAGCTGTACAGCCAGCAGATCACTGGCGGTCTTCTCTAATATAGTACCCAGAGTCTGATTAGAAGTGTTCATACTATGATACAGTATGAGCACTAACTCCTTTCCCATGGGAGTCCAGCTGTAGGCTTGTTCGCATGATGGGCTTGTTGCAGTTTGATTTAATTGAGCTGTGGTTCATTTCCTTTTAGATTGTTATCAATAAAGGCAATTAACAGCTAATGAAATGTGAGGACTGACCCGTAGTCCTGCTTATTGGTACTGCTAGAGTTGTATTTCATGGGACAGTATAGTAAATAAAATAAAGGAAAATGTTATTTATTGTGCTGCAGAAAATGAATCTTCAATTCATAATAAACATTTCAAGTAAAAACACCAAACATTTTCTGATTCCAGCTGCTGAAATATAAAGATATTTGTAAACTTTCAGTTTTAAACTGTTGATTTGACAAAACAAAACATTGTACATTAATAGTAATAATGAAAGTAGTGGTTAGTTGGACCCCTAGTTTTTAGCTGTCAAAGTAATAACTCCTGTTTAACATTTTTATATTATTTAAGGTTTTCTCTCCTGCAGAGCCTGTCACTCCTCAGACTTTACTGTAGATACTGAAAATGCTGCAGTTATGACTCCCACCATCTGCTCTGTCTTTCCTTCCTACAGCTTGTGTATGACATGGGAGCACAGGGGATGTACAAGATATGAAATTGGCCTAAATGTTCCAAGTTCCTGTATTGTGTAACTTTTTATCTTTAACTTATGACTTCATCTTGTTGATGTGGATGAAGCTCGTGCGTCAAATGGTAGGTTTTACCACAGCAGGAGCCCCCTCCATATCACCTCTCCTCCGCTCAGTAACAATTACAGGATCTACATCACAGCGCTGAAGCTCATCCCATTCTTCACATTTCCATCCACAGTAACAGATTCAGAGTGTTGAATTGTTTGCCGCCACCACTGTCATTTCAGTCCAGTGGAATAAACTTTCCTCATTCCACATTCATAAGAATGTAACAAAAAAATGTCAGAAAAGCTAACGCCTTGTTTAATCTTCTTTCTATACACTCAAACTATGACAGCAGAAGCACTAGGAGGAAGAAGAGATGACAAATACCAAATATAATTAGAAGACATCAAAGGAAAGTTGTAATGCAGAGCTATTCAACCGTCAGACATATCTAAATGGGATTAGTTATAGTCATTTTGACGTAAGCCTGCTTTGGGCTAACTGTGGAGTTTGCAGCTGTATTATGTAAGGAAATATAAATATGGGATTGGACTCTGTTCTGGCAGATACTTAACATTAAATGACTCCGTTTGGGGCAGAGGCAAAAAAGGTATTAAGACATCAAGGCGGCAAATTAAGATTATTTTCATTATTGGTTAATCTGCCCAAAATGTAAAGAAAAGCAGCAAATCCTCACAATTAAGAAGCTCAAACTTTAGGTGAAGTTATTTTAGATGGTGTATATATAATAATAATAATAATATAATCACGACACCGGCTCAACATTGTGATCTGTCAGCCGTCGGCAATGGACATTGGCTTCGTCTATCGGCCCAACCTCAATTTCCAGTCAAACCAGTCAATCCCCAAAGAGCAGAACATCTTCGTTAGAAATACTGGATGTTCCAATAAGGAGGAAAGTGAAACTGTGTGAAGAGCAGATGGTCTTTGAAGTGTAGACGTCTGTGCCCCAGGCCCACAGAAGACTCGATTGTGTTGGCAGCTCGGACGACAAACCTGTTCAGCTACCTCACTCCTGCATGCAGAGTGCACACAGCCTGCTGGCCCATTGCCAACAGCTACACAGAGCCAGAGAGGCGGCACTCTTTGTTTTGGATCATGGTCGCTGAATCGCTGCAACAACAAAAAAATTTGTTGCCTTTGTTTTTATAGAAGATGTTACAACAGTATAGAGTCAGAGCTCTGACTAATAGGTGGAGGGCACAGGAAGGATATAAGGCTTTGTCTATTTCTGATGTTAATTTTGGTTGGTTATTGGCAGTGAACCTACTACTAAAATAAAATACTTTTATGTAGATGTTTACTCAAAGTAGCTAAAACAACAGATTTTAGTGGATTCCCAGGCAACCCTAAAAGTGTTGGTGCTGTGTCTACCATATTCAATTTAAGGTGGTATTGTGTCCTGATCTAAAGAAGGTTTAGATCAAAGTTTTTGGGTAATAGATTATAATTTACCAAAATCAACCAAAGACCCGCTTCTCAGATGTGAAATTTTGGTGCTTTCTCTTTTTTATATAATTGTAACTGGACTATATTTAAGTTTTGGTCTATTTAAAGACTTTCAAGAACATTCTCATTCAGATATCCAAATGTAATAGATTTTCCAGTAGAAAATTTCATGTTGACATTTAGACTAGCTGTCTAGCTATGATAGGTTACTAGGTCACATGTATATTAATGTGAATAAGGCAGATGGACAGTTTAAAAGGCATGGTGGTCATATTATGATATACAGGTGAAACTCGAAAAATTTGCTTATCGTGCAAAAGTTCATTTATTTCAGTAATTCAACTTAAAAGGTGAAACTAATATATTATATAGACTCATTACATGCAAAGT